CTACGTTGTCATTTGCCCAAACCCTACAGGAAGTACGTGAAGCCTAAAATGTAAAGTTTGTGGTAGAGTTATACTAACCTAATCTCTAGGCACATCCTACGGACAAGCTTTCACAGATGCGATCCAAGGCCAGTGGGGCGGTCTGCCGTATGAAGACCTCGTGCTGGGCTTCGACTACATAAAGCAGAATGTCAGCTACGTCGACACGAAGCGAGCCGTTGCCCTCGGCGCCTCCTATGGCGGATACATGATGAACTGGATCCAAGGACACCCTCTCGGCCGCGAGTTCAAAGCTCTAGTAACCCACGACGGCGTCTTCAGCATGTCCGGTCAGATGGCGTCTGAGGAGCTGTACTTCCCCTTCCACGACATCAAGGGAACGCTTTGGAATAACCCCGAGAATTGGGCCAAGTGGGATCCGTCCAGGTTTACCGAGAACTGGGCCACGCCTCAGTTGGTCATACACTCCGAACTGGATTACAGGCTCACCATCAGTGAGGGACTGGCAGCGTTCAATGTGCTGCAGTGTAAAGGGATTGAGAGTCAGTTCTTGACGTTCCCGGATGAGAACCACTGGGTGCTGAAACCGGAGAATGGGCTCATGTGGCATACGGTCGTGTTGGATTGGATCAATAAGCATGTGGGATTGAAGACTTACACTGAGGCTCGGAAGGCAGGAACCACCGACTAGTATTTCGGTAGTAAGCTTTTGCTATATAGCACGTCCCTATACATTGATGGGTTCGACATTGCTAGGTGTATGGTTTTGTTGTCTTGACTGTGAACGGCATATGAAGCTTGTAGGATGATGTATCTTGTTACTGAATCTCCTGTTATTAGTGACTGATCTAGTTGAGATTGAAACAATAAGCAGATAAAAATAAATGCATGCATCCAAAGTTTTGGTTCAAGTCAAGACGCGCTCGCATTGTAGCGCGTAGGTAGCGTGAGGCTGGTCTTATCGATAAGGATCCTGGATTATTTTCTCGGGCATCGCGACGGCTCGAACTTTTCCTTAGCACGCAGCTCGTCACCCACCACAACACGGGCAACAAGATCCACCGCCCTCCAATCTAAACGAGACTCTTCCGCGATCCTAACTCAGCCGATAGATTGCGTGCGCCACCCCAATCACACCCGCTATCGAACTAGAGGCGGCGACGCCTGCGGAGCTCTCAAGATGCCGAAGAAAGCCATCGACTCCCGTATACCGGCCCTGATCCGCAATGGCGCCCAGGAGAAGAAGCGCAGCTTCTTTGTAGTGGTCGGCGATCGCCAAAAAGACGTCATCGTCAACCTCTACCACATTCTGCTGAACGTCGACGTCAAGTTGAACAAGTCGGTGCTGTGGGCATACAAGAACAAGCTACTGGGATTCTCAAGTCACCGCAAGAAGCGCGAGAAGAAGATCAAGAACGAACTCAAGCGCGGCATCCGCGATGTCGACACCGAAGACCCATTTGAACTATTCGTCTCGACGCAGAACATCCGATATGTCTACTACAAGGAAACCGACAAGATTCTGGGTAACACATACGGCATGTGCATCCTGCAGGATTTCGAAGCGCTTACGCCGAACCTACTCGCGAGGACAATCGAGACGGTCGAGGGTGGAGGACTGGTCATATTGCTGCTCAAGGGCATGAGCAGCTTGAAGCAGCTGTACACAATGTCTATGGACATCCACTCGAGGTATCGGACGGAGGCACATAGCGACGTGGTAGCGCGCTTCAACGAGCGCTTCCTGCTGTCACTCGGGAAATGCGACAGCTGCTTAGTTGTCGACGATGAGCTGAATGTTCTTCCCATCTCAGGCGGAAAGCATGTCAAGCAGCTGCCTCCACCAGACCTAGAGCTGGAAGGCAAGACACCGAAGGCGAAAGAGCTGGCAGAGATCAAGGAGTCGTTGGCAGACTCGCCTCCTACGGGAGATCTTGTCAAGCTTGCGAAGACCGTAGACCAGGCCAAGGCTCTTCTGACATTCGTGGAAGCCATTGTCGAAAAGACGCTTCGCAGCACTGTTACCCTCACAGCAGCTCGTGGACGAGGAAAGTCAGCAGCCCTTGGTGTTGCAGTGGCAGCAGCAGTAGCGCATGGATACAGCAACATCTACATCACATCGCCCAGTCCAGAGAACTTGAAGACGCTCTTCGAGTTCATCCTCAAAGGATTCGATTCGCTAAACTACGCAGACCACCAAGACTACACCATCATGCAATCGACACAGCCCGATCAGAACAAAGCCATCGTACGAATCGAATTACATCGACAGCACCGACAGGTTATCCAATACATCAGGCCCGAAGACTCGCACGTCTTGGGACAAGCAGAGCTTCTGGTCATTGACGAGGCCGCGGCAATTCCTCTGCCCCTCGTACGGAAATTGATGGGTCCCTACCTAGTCTTCATGGCATCGACCATCAACGGTTACGAAGGAACGGGTCGATCGCTATCGTTGAAGCTGATCCAACAACTTCGCGAACAGTCGCGTGGTAAAGGAAACAATGGCTCAACTCATGTGGTTGATCGTTCGACTGGAAAGGAGACAAAGGACGGCAACGAGACCTCCATGACCGGCCGATCGCTCCGGGAGATTACACTGTCAGAACCCATTCGATACGCTCAAGGCGACTCAGTGGAGCGGTGGATGAACGATCTTCTATGTCTGGATGCAACACTACCCCGAAGGACGAACACGCAAGGATGCCCGCACCCTGACAAATGCCAACTTCTCCATGTCAACCGGGACACCCTCTTTTCCTACAACCCTGCTGCTGAGAAGTTCCTTCAAAAAATGATGGCGCTGTACGTAGCTAGCCACTACAAAAATACACCCAACGATCTCCAGCTCATGTCGGATGCGCCCGCCCATCAGCTCTTCGTGCTCACGGGGCCCACAGAAGAGAACAAGCTCCCCGAGCCTCTCTGTGTGATCCAAGTGGCGCTCGAAGGTCAGATCAGCAGGGAGAGTGTAATGAACAGTCTGAGCAGAGGACAGCGTGCAGGCGGTGATCTCATTCCCTGGATCGTTTCGCAGCAGTTCCAGGACGAGAACTTCGCAAGTCTTTCCGGAGCTCGCATAGTGCGGATAGCAACCAACCCGGAGTACGTCAAGATGGGCTACGGATCAAAGGCGTTACAGCTTCTGGTAGACTTCTACGATGGCAAGCTCGCCAGCTTGTCGGAATCTGAGCCTCAGGAGGTGGAACAGATGCGCAGAGTGACAGAGGAAGACTTGGAGAACACGTCGCTCCTACAGGACAATGTCAAGATCCGGGAAGCCAACGAGATGCCGCCGCTGTTTGCCCGACTACAGGAGCTGAGGTCACCGAAGCTCGATTATGTCGGTGTATCGTATGGCCTTACATCGCAGCTTCACAAGTTCTGGAAACGCGCATCGTTCGTCCCAGTCTACCTACGACAAACACCCAACGATCTCACTGGAGAACACACATGCATTATGTTGCGTTCGCTCGAGACGACCTCATCCGATGGCAGCTGGGTCGCAGCATTCGCCAAGGACTTCCAGAAGCGCTTCCTCTCCCTCCTTTCCTACCAATTCCGCTCATTCCCTTCCATCACCTCTCTGTCAATAGAAGAGTCCGCATCAGCAGGATCCAAGCTAGACGCCGATTTGGCCGCAAAACCCATCAGCAAGGCCGAACTAGACGCGCTCTTCACACCCTTCGATCTCAAGCGTCTGGACTCGTACGCCAACAACATGCTCGACTACCATGTCATCCTCGACATGCTGCCTCCCATCGCCACCCTCTACTTCACCGGCCGTCTCAAGGGCCAAGTCAAGCTCAGCGGTATCCAAACTGCACTACTCCTGGCCATTGGTCTGCAACGCAAAGAGTTCTCCGACGTGGAGAAGGAACTCAATCTCAACTCCAGCCAGCTGATGGCCATGTTTGTCAAGATTGTACGAAAGGCCGCCACAGCATTCCGCAGCATAGTCGAAGGCGCAGTCGAAGAAACCATGCCCGACGCTATGGAAGTAGAAGAGAACGGCGCTGGTGATGACGCTGCTGACGACGCCCACCGCTTCATACCGCTCGAGAAGGATCTACAAGAGGAGCTCAGGGAGGGTGGCGATGAGTTCCTGGCTGAGGACAAGGAGAGGCAAAGGAGCATGATTGACGCTCTACCTCTGCACAAGTAAGTTCCTCACGTTCCACAGTCATACATCGAACGATCACTAACTGTATACTCGCAGATACGAAATCGGCGCCGGAGCCGCTGACTGGGAAGACGCCGAACGCGCCGTCAGCAACGCAGCCAAAAAGGGTGGAGCAGGCAGCATGACCGTCGCCGTCAAGACAGGCGAGAAGAAGAGGAAAGTCGGCGAGGCAGTCGAGGAAGCATACAAGGAAGCCGAGAAGTTCAAGGAGGGCGCTGCAAAGAAGAGCAAGAAGCACAAGTCTAGTAAGAAGGCTTGATTGATCGATCGCAAATATCACGCTGCGTATGCATGGTAAAAGGAGTTTTTAACCTGGCGTTACAATCTAGTTTGGGGAAAATCCAGTGCTTTGTGCTCGAAGTAGTAGTAAGGGTAGTTAGTCAGTCAGTCTTCCAATGTAGACCTAACCATTGCTTTGATTGACCCGATGATCTCACTATCTGTATGCCTCTAACCCTCTCTCTACTCGACCCTATCAAACCAGACCGAAACGAATAAGAAGATTATAAATATTATATACGCATAATAGTGTAGATTTGAAAGAGTCGCGCCCAAGAATCGCTAGTACCAGCAAATCTGCCAAAATAAAGAACAGATTCGAAATGATTCAATCATGGGGGGGATATCATACGCGTAACAACGAACAATATGGAAAATGGATATGGCCTCTTCTTCATTCCCTGCCCCATACGTTCCCCCTTGTAGTCTGATAACAAATAAGAGTCAGATAGTTCGTCCCCTCCTCGCGGACTTCATACAGATGGACAAGTGATAACACCATGCCCCCTTGGTCTTACACAACATCTGCGCTCATATTCTAAAACGCGTCTTCATTAGGGCAGGCCGTAACATCATGACCCTCGCTCTCGCACAGCGCGCACCATTTATCCGGATCAGCGATGGCGGCACCCTTGGGAGGCACAAGATCGGAGTTCGAGGCGTTGAACGAGGGGGTAGGCAGAGGGGACGTGGGCGCGTTGCCTGGCGGTTTCGAGGGGCTGAGGGCAGAAGGACGCGCGCGGTCGGAGGAGACGGAGAGGCCGCGGAGACCTTCGATGACGACGTCCTTGCCGCTTCGTAGACCGTCTTCTTGGGGGTATGAAGATGGGTCTCCGCCCATGGCGGAGCAGTTTAGGATGTCGTGGCCGCCTGTTTCGCAGATCTCGCACCAGAGGAGGCTGCTGTTAGCGGAGGAGCGGCCGTCGGACTCTGGCATTACGGAGAGCGCTGGGGGCGCATCGCGACGGGTTTGCTGTGGTGGTTCGCGCCAGTTTACGACGGTGTCTTTTGAGTCGCGCTCTGAGGGCTTTTCTTGGGTCGCCGTGTGTTCCGACAGGCCGTTGCTGATGACGCTTTCGCGCTGCTCCGCGAGGCCGAGCTGCCTCTTCAGCTTCTCGAGCTCGCGTTCTAGCTCTTCTTCCCTGTAGGCCTTGCGTTCGACAAGACCGCGAAGTTCCTCCTTCTCGCGCTCGAGTCGTTCTGCGTTTGCTTTGGCGCTCTGGAGCTCTTCGGCATCGACATTTGAAGCTTGTCGCGATAGTGGTGAGCGGACACGGTCGTCTCCTCCGCCAGAGCTCAAGGAATGGATGATGGCTTTGAGACCGCGAATTTCGTCATCGCGTTGCTCGACTTCTCTTTGCCCTGGTGTGTGAGGTGCGTCGACCATTGCGCCGGCACCCTTGAGAGCAGCAGCGGCCTTTTCGCGTTCGCGACGGAGTTCAGATCTGCCTCGCTCGACTTCGCCCCGCAAGAATTCGACTTCTCCTCGGGCCTCTGCTTCGCCTCTCCGCGCATCCTCTAGACCTTCTTCTAACTCTTGGACAAGCTCTTCTAGTTGTTTCAACTGCATCGCTACAGTCTCGACATCTTCGCTGCGGGACGCATATTCCCGTAGCTCTTCTTGTAGCTCTTCCACCTTCTTCTCGTATACGCGCTCGGTTTCGGTGCTGGCCAGCTCTAGGGTATCGATGGTGCTTCGGAAATCGGATCGATGTGCGTCGAACTCGGACGTGAGCATGGCGATCTTATCGTTCTTCTCCCTAAGAAGTGCTCGTAGTTGCGCTACATCAGTAGGCTCGCTGCTGCCGTGCGCCGAACCCATATCCAACCCGTCTTCTGGTATCAGGCTTTGAATCTCTGACAGACTTGCTTCCATTTCGCTCAGCGACGCAGCCTGCTCCTTGAGCTGCTTCTCGCGTTCGTCCAGGAGCGCCTGAAGCCGCTGCACTTCTTCGTTTGGTTGCGAGCCGAGGCGCGAACCAGGCCTTTTATACTTGTAACTTGCCATGGAGTCATTGCTGGTCCGCGCTGCGCCGATGGGGGTTGTCTCATTGTCCTCGTCGATGGTGTCTTGGTGGCCGAGACGGGAACTGCTTCGCGAGTAGGGTCGTTGCGGACCAGGTGTGCGTGGTTTCTGTGGGAGAGGGGCTCTGGGTGCAGGGCTGGCGTAACGAGGCGGCGCTGGACTTGCGAATCGTGGGGGTGCGCCGATTGCGCTCTTGGAGAAGCCAGAGGGTGTAAGTCCGCCGCTCCTTCCCGGTGTTGGACCGGTACCAAGGCTGCCTTTTCGAAGAGGAGACTCGGGTCTGTACGATGGTCTGGCTTGGGGTGGCCGCTTGGGACTAGGCGCGCGGGCTCCGGGCCCGACAGACTGTGAGAACTGTGGCTTTGGCATCGAGGGGGTATTAGGGCTGAAGCTCGGCTTCTCCATGGTGGAGAGACTGAAGTTGTTATGGTATGAAGGCGTGGTCGGCTCAGGTGCAAAGTCCGACGAGTCGGCTGAGACCCTTTTCTGAGCGCGATGGACGGGCAGGAAGATGCCAGAGCCGGGAACAGACGTATCGAAGTACTGTGTGCTGTAGACAAGTCAGTATGCGCGCATACATATCGAGCGTTGTGTGTGCGTACCCATCGACAGCGCCATCGTTCTTGCCCCGCGCTGCATACTCCCTGTTCAGTTCGACGCCCGCGAAGACGCCCTGCTTGCCCCGAATGCTGCCAACAAACTTGACGACACCGACCATGCCGCCGGGGACGTCGACCGTGTCGCCGACATCAATATCTTTCCCGTCTGCGCCCATCCTGTTCGATGGCGAGCCTCCGGCGCCGACTAATGCGGATAGCGATGCTTGCCGTGCGATGTTGCGGCTGGCGTTCAGCGAGAGATTGGGCGAGGAAGCAGTGGGGTGGAGTGCAGGGCGCGCTCCAAGACGCCTGGGAGTGTGCGGGTAGGCCATACCGGACGGCTCGTTGACAGGGTCGACCTGTTTGGAGTAGCACAGGGCAGGTTGGACGGTGTTTGTTTTGATGCGATGGTACCGCAGGGGTTGGACTGCCAACGTAGCGGCGACTGACGAGCATGATTAATTAACCGATCGCTACCCAATCCATCTGCACCAGAACGTCAGGGGAAACGTCCCTCCTTTTCTACGCGCAGCCCCTCTTTTCACTTCAACGCTGCTTCGAATAACATCTCACCTTCTCGACGTCGCAACTGAAATGCAGCAGTATGTCATACAAGCTGTGGTACGCGACGGTAGCGCGCAGATCCTTGTGCATTGGGACCGACAAAAAGCAATCAATCCCGTACCAATGACAGCATGCAGCCGTCCTATGCCTCGCGACAAACAGTCCTTCATCTGCGTATACTAGACAATGCTACTGCTTGTTTGAAGCATAGGGGGTTTCGCAACATGTGAATTGACTTTCCCGTACTCGGCTGCCTGGACTATTGGACTATGCTAGTATCACCAGTCATTATTGAAGATACTATTGATATCCCAAAGTCCGCCGACGCCACAAAAGCACCATCAGGTCGCGTACTTAGTCTCCGATGACCAAACCATGTCCTTGCTTTATTGACGCGAAGAGACCAAGCCCTGCATAAGCAGTGAACGCAAACGCGTGGGCACGTGAGGAGGAGCGGGAGCGGGGGAGGCACCTGGCAGTCAGATTCCCGGCTGTCTCCCGATCGCTTGCCAGAGGCCTGGGATACTCAACATGTATGAAGGCATGTAAGCTCTTTGGGATTGTGCTGGAACGAGCAGTTTCAAGGTTGCAATCAGCCTGACGCTCCCATATCTACTTGAACTATAGATGTGGTAAACACATGGACTTGGTCATTGAGACTGCGTATCTAGTCACTACATGGAAAACAGCAGCACTCCAACAACATGCATCTGCAGTCTTCTTCATGAACACTTCAAACTCCAAAAGGTCTAAAGTCCCATCAGCATCGACTCAGCTACCCGCGGAGTCGCCGCAGTTCCCGACTCGCCGACCGAGCGCCTTTCCCCATGTTCCACAATTGCCTCGGCTCACGCCTCGGTGATGGTCAACCGCGCCAACTACATCACTGCGCGCGCGCCCACACCATGTTTACTCAACAGCCGCTCTCACCATGGCCGGCAACGTGCGACAACCAATTGACATTGCGTCGCTAGAGCGCTACATCACTGCCAATGTACCGGAGATCAAAGTTCCGCTGGACGTGAAGCAGGTACGCTGTTCGAAGTTCGGAAGAGCTGGACATGTTCGCTGGAGATGAAAGCTAACAGTTGAAAGTTCGGTTATGGACAGTCGAATCCGACGTACCAGTTGACGGATAAAGATGGCAGGAAGTATGTTATGAGGAAGAAGCCCCCGGGTCAACTGCTGTCAAAGGTATGCTGAGGCTCTCCATGTGAGAAAGTCGATTATCATAACTAACACGAGGTTTTGTAGACTGCGCACAGAGTCGACCGCGAGTACAGAATCATCCACGCACTCGAAAAGACCGATGTTCCCATCCCGCGCGCACTATGTCTTTGCCAGGACCAGGACGTCATTGGCACCGACTTCTACATCATGGACTTCCTCGATGGGCGTATCTTCGAAGATCCCGCGATTCCAGGCGTAACAGCTGAAGAACGCACCAAGATGTATGAGCTCTCAAAACTACTTGAAAATCAACGACAGTACTAATGCATAACCTCCAGGTGGCACTCTGCCATAACCACGCTCGCGAAATTCCATCGCGTGTCCCCTGCTTCCGTAAACCTCGCCTCCTACGGCAAGAACTCCGGCTTCTACAACCGCCAAATTGCAACGTTCGATACCATCTCTAAATCGCAAGGTGCGGCCAAAGACAAAGAGACTGGGGAGCCAGTAGGCAAGATACCGCATCAAGACGACATGGTAGCCTTCTTCAAAGACCCAAAGACGCAGCCCAAGGACCGCGCAACCTTTGTCCACGGCGACTACAAGATCGACAACGTCGTTTTCCACAAGACAGAACCCAGGGTGATCGGCATCCTGGACTGGGAAATGAGCACGATCGGCCACCCGCTGTCTGATCTGAACAACGTTCTCGCGCCCTACGTGACAGCATCGGATGAGACTGCCATGTCTATTGGGCGCGCGCACAAGGGTTTCCAACCTGGAGCTACACCTGGTCTGCCTACTCGAGAGCAACTGATTGCGTGGTACTCTGAAGTTGCAGGCTGGGATCCGCGACCGGACTTTGTTTGGGGCGACGCTTTCAGTACGTACAGGAGCGCCATTATCATGCAGGGGATTGCGGCACGGTATGCGTTGAGACAGGCGAGTAGCGAGCAGGCGCAATCGTATGGGGCTATGATGAAGCCCTACGCGGAGATTGCATGGGGTCTTGTGCAGAAGATTAACAGAGGGGAGAAAGCGAAGCTATAGCGTTCTGATCTGTGTAGACTATTCGTCAGTAAATCATATTTCAAATGCACTTGGGTTCTTCTTCGAAAATCGTGATTTGGAGCTGTAAAGGTGGTTTGTTGATTCTCTGACTCTGAAGATAGTAATGGCCGGGCGCCGTTGCACTTTTCTCTACCAGATTCTTTTATCGAGATCCAAGCCTCTCCTTGCCCAATTTGCCCAGCTGGTATCATATGGGTACAGTATCGTCCTGTAAATATGAAAATGTCAACATAGATGTTCCGCAAATGTCCTCCGTGATGGTGATGCTCTGGATGGGCAGGCGTAGAAAGGGGCCTGGTGAGGCATACCCGTAAGTGTTCGCGCCTCAAACGCCCATGCGCCTTGTAATGCCCAGATTCTGTCCATCTGCCTCGCTCTTGCTCTCTTTCGATGTACCACGGGCGCTGTGTTACTCGTCGCTTGCGCGTTTGATTCTCTATCGTCCGATCTTGGGTACGTCCTGGTTGATGCGGTCAAGCGCCTGCGCCTTGGTTAGCTTTGATTTCTTGCCTCTCAGGATATGGGATTCCGTACTTCAAGCATGACCACGGCGTTTCCTCTGATGACGACCATGCCGATGCGCACCTTCTCGCCGCCAGCCTTCTCTTCCAGCGCTTCGTCAAGTACAATGTTTAGGTAGACCTGCGGTGTGTTAGCTCGGTTCAGAGGTAACAGGGAAAGAGTACATACGTCGTATCCGCGGAGGATACCCATGACTTTGCGGCTGCCATTGAGCTGGACGAGAACGCGCTTCTCGAGGTACTTTACAAGGTTAGGTTCTGGAAGCTTGCGTCGGCGTTGTTCACTCACCTTCTTGAGTTCTGGCTGTGCTTGCGGCATCTTGACGGTAGTAGACTGTTTTGAGTTTGAATGTGGCGGTTCAGGTTCCTGGTGACGGCTTCGGGTGGCTTCGCTCGTGTGGGTCGGTCGTGAGCTGGAGACGCGCGTGGTGTTCACGAGCAAGAGCAGCGCTGCGCATGGTGGGATAGCTCCGTGGATTTTGCGGAGGGCCCGTGCGTAGGCGGCAGCCACGACATGTGCGCGCGCATGCTATCTTCTGCTCTACAACTCAAGATCCCTTTCTGACAAAGGAACTTCTCACACAAATATCGTCACGATGAAGCGATCCGGTTCCAATCGCGTTGCACGCAAGATTGGCAGCTACGACGACGACGCATCCGCCGACAGCGCGAACACCTCGCCGAGCGAAGTACGGAAGCCCACAGGTCAGTCACCAGTTGTCGCGATTGCCAGCCTTTCTGACGTTGGGGAAACTCACAGCGAATCTCTCCAGGCCTTGTTGAAAGCTGGCGACTTAGGTGGCTCCGTACTAACTGGCCGTGTAGTCGTCAAGCGGCCAACAATTGGTAAAGCGAAGAAGCGTTCTTCCCTACGAGTGTCTTTTGGCCCAGGCGAAGACGCGAACGATGGCGACGACTCGAGCGACACAGCCGTCGTGACTCCGAAGAAGGCAAACCTCAGTCGCATAGCCCTGGAGAAGAGTGCGCAACTGCGGGCGCGCTCACCCCTCGTACCAGAGGCCGCCCGCCCGACCGAATACAGCAAGGACTATATAGCAGAGCTGCGAAACTCGACGCCGTCAACACCCCGCGATCTGAATACGTCCGCTGAAGATGAAGAGGAGACGCAAGCCCTAGATATCGCATCGAAATTCGGTCCTGTCGCATCGCTCGAGACGTCATCTGCGATCCCCACAGAAGCCGAGATTCGAGAGAAGAAGGCGCGGAGACGTCGTTTGGCGCATGAGGAGAACGCCCTCGACGACGAAGACCGCGCGTGGGCATCCGATGACCAGGGAGAAGACGAGTTCAGACAGCACAAGAACGAGATTTCTCTTCGACCAAAAGACAAGTACGGAGAAACGCGTCTCATACACGAAGATGAGGACATAGCCGAAGGTTTTGACGATTTTGTCGAAGATGGCAAGATATCGCTCGGTCGCAAGTCTGAGAAGGAAGCGCGACGTAGAAGGCGCGCCGAAATGGCAGAACTCATCAACGACGCCGAAGGCGGTTCGGGCGACGACGGGACGGACGACTCAGACGAAGAGAGGAATACCGCTTTCGCCGCAGCTCAAGCCCGCGCAGGACGATACGGCCAGAAGATCGAAGACGAGGAAGATGGCACAAAAACTCCACCGCGCATTACGCCCCTGCCAGACCTAGACGAAGTCCTAGAAGGTCTCACGATCGATATACAGACGAAGCAGCAGAGGAAGAACCTGATCCTGCAGAAGCTACAAGACCTAAAGGACGACAAGGTCAGAATTGAAGAGCGGAAGAAGTACCTCCAGGAACAACTGCAGAAGACAGGCGACGAGTACGAGAAGTTGCGCCAGGAGTCGGGGCTTCCTGCATTGCCCGCAAACGGCGTAGAGGGAGGTCGCTTGATCACAGAGAGAGGGTTGGATAGTCTGGGTACTACGCCTTTGGCCGGTACTACACCCATAGCTGGTAGATCTAGCGACGACTCGGATGATGAGTAGCGTTTGTTAGGATTGAAGTATCTGGCTTCAGCATGGAAATGCTGGGCGAGCCGTATAATAATACTATGAATATAGTTCATGAATGTGTATCAACGCCTCCGTAACGCCTGAATTCCGCATTCGTATAATACAAGAGCCTAAAAGC